CTTTTGGCACAAAGATTGTTGATCGCGTCGGTAGCCTTCCGAGCCCCTTGAGGGTCATGCCACCTTTAGTACACAGTCTGTACGAAGTCTTCCAATGTCTGGGCCTGAGCCTAGGCATCGAAGTTCTGACCATAACCCTACTGCTATACTACCCGTTTAACCAGCGTGTTGTCGATCCCTCTAAAAAGGAGGCAGCAACTATGACTTCCTGCTCTGGCCTTGTGACCTCACGTAGGTAGGCAGAATCCTCACCTAGGTATCCAGGTCCTCGTTCTTCTTCCTGTTGCCAAAGAAAGGCTTAGGACTCAACAAGGGTATCTTGGGCATCCACTGCAGGGTTGGATCTGCCCAGGTGATTGCGGCAGTGGATGCATAGCCACTGAGACAGGTTGTTGCATACTAACTTGTGACTGTCCAGACAATGGCACTTTAGCTGCCACTGTAGCTACTTGTTGTGCGCCTGAGAGAGACATGCCATACATACGTGAAAAGGATGGCCCTATCGGCAACGACGTCACTGAAGGACCTGCAATCGAAGGGGGAACTACAGAGAATTGGGGCTGCCTCATGACTGGACGAGGTCCCTGAAGTGCAGACAAAATTCGTTTTTGGCCTGTCACTAGTTCAGCCAACAGTTCCTGCTGAACTACCTGCATTTCTGCCACACACAGCAATGAGTTACGCAGCGCCCGATCAACAGGATTCAATGCAAACTCATCATGTTCTTCTAACCCTCTTCACTCCTGCAACCTAGTGCCTAACCTGACTTTTCTCAACCTAGCCCTTTCTCTTCTTTCTTCTACCTCTCTAAGTTGCCACTGCAACTCATCACGAAGAGCTTCCACTTGGAGGATCTCATAATCCTTCGGCGTGAGCGGGGGCTGCTGGCTGACTTGCAAACCAACAGTCTGACTTATGGAGCCTTGGGTACTCTGACTGAGTCCTAACGAAGAGGCCTGAGAAGAGGCTTGTGACATGGTAGAGGAGGTAGTCATGGTTACACATGTGCTAGCTATACTCCTAGCCCTGGCGCTGGCCTCAGCATCCATCGTCCTCCACAATGCCGCCCTCTCCCTAGCTTCTCTTCGCAACCTCCTTTCCTCTCCTGGACCTAACTCTAGGAAGGTCAAAGGTCGACTGAGGGCAGTTCTACGAGTAACCCTAAGATCTTTCACTAACTCCTCCTCCTCACTGCTAGCAGCTTCACTCATGAGCTACAGTGGAGTGTGATCTAAACTAGAATCCACATTGACTCCTACCTTAGCCTGACACCCAATCGAGTAAGAATAATCAATACATCTCGGTCAGCCTGGAGAAAATAGTCGAGCGGTAGCCAATAACTAATGTCAGATCCTATAGGGGATACTAATTTTATTTTTAGATTACTCTGAAACAGATTGCATGCAACAAAGAATACTAACTATCTGCAGTTGTCTGTTAGTTGTGGATCAAGGCCGTAACAACTAAATAATCAAAACTAAAAATAGTGTCACTTGCAGACACGCATGCTAGATGGAACATTTTCCCAGTTAATAACTTTGCGAACAGTTACCGAAATCCCCCCCTCTCCCTGTGTCCTTCTTGATTGGTCATTTTGTGTCAACGCCCTGATCATCTGGTTGAGCGGCGTGTTTGAAGGTGTGCAATTCGGCCCACGCCTGTGGCCCAAGTCTATGCCGAACGTGCCAGCCCCTGCACGTTGTTTACCCTCGCATGCAACGAGCCTTACTTCCGGTTTGATCTAGCTGATCAAGCGGCAGTTTAAGGACAGCACCCAAGGTCCTCAGGAATTATTTAACATCGCAACAGGACGACGATCACAGCCAGGGTTCAACACCGGAACCCGCCAAAATATTTAGAGGCGATCTGGTACGCGTCTGTTCAAAGGGCTGGCATGCCCTGCATGACCTCTATTGCGCAGCAGCAAAACCAAGGACTTGCGGCAAAGCATGCGTGTACTAGTCCCAGCGGGTTGGCATGGTGACCGTAACCTGAGTGCTTCGTCCAGGGCCCTTCAGAGGCTTCGCCCGTCTCCCACCAGCTTGCTGCCCAGGAAGAACGTCGACTCTCAAGGTTGAGCGCTTGCGACACCTCACATTGAGAGGACCCTCAAGACAGAACTCACTTCCTCACGGTAAGAAGTAATGAACAGGGTAGATAAGGACGAGAACAACATACCTCATAATGCTGCCCTCAACCACAGATTTCTCACCGGCAACCTGATGTGCATTTATGATGACCGGTTTTTGCCTCGGCACAACCAACAACAAAATGCAGTTCCACCTCGGCTTAAATGCCACATCAGCGAGTTCTCACCATCCAGCGTACACCCCTAATGTCACCACATAGCTTCCTGGCGCGCCAACATGAGCCTGGGCCCCCAATCGTTCAACCCCCGAGCCTTATTACTGCCCCACACCTCATGCGAAGCACCAAACAGCTATTGTGAAAAACCAATGAAGCGCAGTTCGAACCAGCTCCGATACCAAATTGCAAGGAAAATGAACAGTAGCGAGATGACAATATTCAGATTGCACAATCACATTGAGAGCCAGATCGTATCACAGTGTCCAGAAAGAAGCATTGCACCAATATGACACCAACGGAGAATCGTAACACTGAAAACCAATGTCAATGAGAGCTTGCTCTCACCACCACCAACATATGTGTCCAGCCCTATCTCCCTACTTGGCGCTCGGCGCCCAGCCTACTCCCTACACAGCTACTACCAGCCTACTAATTGACAATGCAACTGTTGCCGTCCGCAGCCAACGAAGTAAAGATGTCGCCCATAGCAGACCATCGCCAATACCAGGTATGTGCCCTCACATCATCATCATCATCATCATCATCCTTCTCTCTCTCCCCGGACTTACACCCACGTCTTCCCTCTGTACACCCGAAGATCACCTCTACGCCTCACTGTAGACCAAGCCCCAGCCAGCTATGAAGGCTGGGCTATGGCGCTGCCCTCAGCAGCGCCCTGTCTCGCACACGACCGCACGTGCTAGCACCTTGCCTCTCAGCGCCAGCAGCAGCCCATGAGCGTCCGCTCCAGCAGCGCTGCCGCCAGCATGCAAGTGCTGAATGAATGCCCCGGCAGCGAGCTCTTCCTATGCGGAAAAAGTCTGTCTGCTTTCGCAGCCTAGCTGGCCTGGGCCTCGACCCAGAAGCTTCCGGTAGGCCCCAGGGGGCTGCGCCTCCTTTGCTGCTACTGGGCCTCGTTCGGTTGGGCCTCCCAACTGTCCGTGTATGAGGCTGCGATTCTCGCCCAGGCCCTGCATTTTCAGGAAAGGCCTGGAAGGCCATGGAAATGTCTTTGCTGCTCAGCCTGTGTTTTTCCCAACCAACTGGCGTGTCACAACTGTCTGGACCCCAAATACGAAATTGACAGCCGAGGCCCTCTCGTGATTTGTCAGCCCGCCTTCACTTAGGGCAGGCACATCTGCAACAGGGGACCCTTAGGCCTGCCGAGGACCCAGATCCTCACACAACTTCCAAACCCCCAACAAAAAGTTGAACCATCCGCCAAGCCGAATAGATAAACCATTTGGCTATTAGACCAACAAACAAAATAAGTTTGAATAACACAATATATACTTTGCAACAGTATGATATGATTTCCATTCCTTTTGAAGAAAGCAGCACCCGTGCAAGAAGCAAACACAACGAAACAACAACAATCCGCCAAGGGAAAAAAAAAAAAAAACTGGAGCTGCTGTGAACAGCCTCGCATACATGCTGGCAAATAAAGCCCACTACTCAATGCGATATACTATGCAGAATTGCCTGCGCGAGCAAGCAAGCAAGCGAAATCGCCATAAAGAGTGTTTATTCATGACAGATCTACAAGTCCCACAAAAAATACGCAAGCAATTGAGTGAAATCGCTGCCGTGAGTGTTTAAACTTCAGACTTGTTTGAGAGGTTCCCCTTTCCAGCAACTTCTTTTTTCATCACTATGGTCCTGGCTCCACTACTGGCGAGATGCACAAAAGACAAAAAGTATTGCGGTGTATCTTCCCATGTTCTAGCGGAAGATTCATTCTCATTTTGCACATTCGGTGAGTAGTGGAGCACGGCCCTATTTGTAGTATGCTTTTCATGATCTTTACGATTCTTTAGATCAAACTTCAGCAGATTTCTCAAATTCTTATATTAAACCACAAGTACACCCGCATCTGATTAAAACAGACCTGAATTTCACTGCGCGCTGAGTTTTGCCGAGCCTGGGTCCCAGTGTAGTTTCTTTTTGGGTAGTCCTCCAAAATAAACAGCATAAAGAAAAAAAAGAAACAACAAAACAAAAAATGCAACAACCCTAAGGACGAGAAAGCTACAGAATCTGGGGTCAGTATATCTCGTACGCCCTTAGTGAGGGCATTGCAGCTACGCGCTCATCACGAACGTTACTTTCAGGGGGGGGGGGGGGAAGAAGCAACAACAATATGGACATGAAAGCCGTTCGATACCGAATCTGGAGTGTATGCCCTTGTTGACAAAGTGTCAGCAGTCCGTGCAGTGCGCCCTGCCTCGCTGGCAGGGCAACAAAAAGAAAACAAAGAAGAAAAAAACAACAAAAGCAACAAAAGCGAATACTGGCCATAGTTGCACGCAGATTCATTCCCCAGTGCACTAGCGTGAGCACACGTCCTTCACAGCCTTCCCGGACATCATTCCTCTCTTTGGAGTTGCATCTTTTTTTTTTTTTTTTTTTTTTTTTCGGGTTTGAACATTATCTTACTGTCTTGCCTGTCCCGACCCCCGATCTTTTCAGAATGAGTCATTTTCAATGAATTTCTTTTGCCTGGGCGGTGTACTTGTGGTTTAAACTTTGAGCCCAATAGAAGGTGACAAACAGGTAGGCGCACTGTCAAAGGAACAAAGAGAAAATTAGCATGGCCCTTGCCTGCATAAAGAAAATCGGATGATGCTCCTGACTATGGAAAAAATAAATAAATAAAAATTCAGAACATGGAATTCTGTCAAGGATTCACTCACATTTTGGTCTGAATCTCCTTTCCTCTTCTTCTTCCTCCTGCAATAAATAAATAGTGCAAAAACCACCACCCATCAATACCAGCGAGAGCAAACAAAGAAGCATACTAGTGTGACACGCTTATCTGGGCCAAATTATCAACCCATTAATTAACCTTCCATTCTCCATACGTTTCGTCGGAATTCCAATCGAGCTTACCTCCCCCTCCCCTCCTCTTCCCTCCCTCCTCATACACTCCCAAAGAACAGACACACAAACAACACACACACACACACACACACACACACACACACACACACACACACACACACACA